TCTCCCCCCCTGCAGCGTTAGCTCTGGCTGAGGACTGGCTTGGGTGATCTCCAGGCGGCAGCATCTCACACACAACCGGGCAGAGGGGCTCGGCGAGTGCTGGGGCTGCTCTGTGCTGTTCTGGGGCTCCTGCTTCATTCTCTCTTTCATTCTTTCATGCGGTCATTTGAGTCCCACCCACCCCGTTAGCATCTGGATAAGGAGGACGGGAGCCAGGGTTGCGAGAATTGGTGTAAGCCAGCAGGTGGTTCGGGGCCAGAATGCGCTCTGGGCTGAGGCTCCAGGAATGTGCCAGAAGGAAGCAGAGCCAGCATTAGGCCGAAAAGGGGGTAGAACTTGGTTAGGTGGAGAATAGGGGCGACAACATGCAGGAAGGTTTTCTAAATAGGTTCTCCAGGGCCGTATCAATCCAATACCAGCCGTTAGAGGAGCTTGCAGTTGCGAAGCCCTGCCAGTGTTATCACAGGTTCGAACCCGGAGGGTCATGCATTGCAAGTTGCTTCCTCTCCCTCTTTTATAGGCGATTAAATAGCAATGGCGACAATGTATTTCCCCTCATGAGTTACAGTGACTATGGTCCCCCTTGGTGCGTAAGAGAACTGAGGCTCTGCGGCACCGGTCTTACCAAAGGACGCAGAAGCCACAGAGCTGTGCTGTCTCCACTGTCCGGCTGTGCTCAAGCCCCTCTCGCCTTCCTTCTTTCCTCTCCCTCCACCTATTTTCCCCCTTTGTTTATTCAGCAAAATTTTCTCAGAGGCTGAATGAATGGTTATTGAGGGGGCGTGGTGACGTAGGGCCACAGAGGTGGGCTGGGCCAACTGTGTAGGTGTGCACACCTGCCGCCCTACGCATCTGGGCTGGGCATCGTTCCTCTAGCAGCAGTGGGGACTGCCACAGCTGCACAAGTCCCCAGCTAAACCTGCCAGCTGAGTAGAACCTGTGCTTAGTATGCAAATGCAGCTTTCTGTCCTCTGGCCTGCTTCAAAGCAGATTGCTACTTTTTAATTTTTAATTTTTTTTTTGAGAGAGAGATTTTTGCTATAGGGCATGTGCGTCGCCAGAGATAGAAAACGAGAAATGATCCCCTGGGGGGGATGGCCATGTCACAATCCTTTCTCCTCCATTCTCCTCTCGGGATCTTGGACACGCAAACACATGTACCCAGTGTGAGTTTCAAACCGCTGGGTCCGGGACTCGAACCGCTGTCGATCACATGGGAGTCCAGCGACGTAACCATTACACCATCTGCTGGTTCTGAAAGGGTCTTTTAGAAAGATGGCCCTCAAGGGCCAAGTAGGAAAGAGCAGGTAGGGGTAAGAGGGGTGGACCCCCCCAGGACCTCACAAGTGGCATGGCCCGCTCCCGCAGTCCTCCTAGGGGACAGTGATGTCACTGCACCCTTGCCTGAGGACAGCAGATACTTCCCCATCAACCTCTCCTGCCATCACCCACCTCATGCCTCCATCCCGCGTCACCAACACACTAGCCTAATGTCCACTGACCTCGTGGCATCCTCCTTGCCCAGGCTCCCTGACTCAGTCCCCCCTCCCCTCTCCATCCCCCACTCCCTCCTGACCCCTTTCCTCACTCGTTATAGGTCATCTTGTCTTGGATCTGGCCCAGGCCCAGTCCACGCTGGTGCTGCCCACGGGACTCATTGCCGCGGCCGGCACCATGACAGTGACCCTGCGCAGCAGCCGGGAGCTGCCCTCACGGCCCGATGGGGTACTGCACGTGGCGCTGCCCACGGTGCTCACCCCCCTGGCCCCACCAGGCCCACCAGGGCCCCCCAGGCCTCCGGGGCTCTGTGACGACAGGTTGGGCCTATGGTGATTCTCTTCGTCCCTCCCTCGGCTTCTCTGGGTCTAGTGCGGGTGAGGGGGCTTTGGCAGGGTGCCCTGAGGGATGGGCAGGGTGAGAAAGGTCTGGGGCCAGTTAGCTGGAGGGGCTGGGACCATCATGGCGGCCCAGTGACCCTCCTATGCTCCTTTCCAGCCCCACCAGCTGCTTCGGGGTCGGCAGCCCTCAGGAGGAAGGACTGGCCTGGGAAGAGCCGGCTGCCCCTCGGGACGTGTTCTCAGGCCCTGCCCGCTGCCCTGCCCCCTACACCTTCTCCTTCGAGATGCTGGTGACCGGGCCATGCCTGCTGGCAGGTGGGTGCAGAGTCCCTCCACACGCCCTCCCTTCCCAGTTATTGACTGGGTAATAATTCAAGGCTCGGGGATGGGAAGGACATGGGACAAGAAGACAGGAACCTCCAGTCCCACAGCGGAAGCCGGTACCTTCTCTGTACTGCGGCGCCCTCCAGTGGGACGACAGGGACTTGCAATGGGCACAGACCACGGGGAGTGGGTTCCCCTGTACAGGGCGTGTGTGGGGGGGTGGGATCCGGTTATTGGATTACGTATGACTCTTCAGCCAGCCCGAAGCAGAGCGGGGATCCACTTCCCAGCCCACGAAGGTAGGCGAGTTCTCCCTTGTCCATCTGACCCTGTCGGATTCCGAGGGCTGGGCTGCGTGGCCACGATGCCTGCCTCCTCGTCTGGGAGGGTGATGTCTGCACTGTTAGTACGGACTTGGGGTGAAGTGACCGTCACCTCCTGTGTCTGTGTCCCTCAGGCCTGGAGAGCCCTTCTCATGCCCTGCGGGCAGATGCCCCCCCTCATGCCAGCTCTGCAGCCACCATCTGCGTCACACTGGCAGAAGGCCACCACTGTGACCGGGCCTTGGAGATCCTGCTGCACCCCAGTGGTGAGACACGGGGGCAGGACACTATTTTTCAAGTGTGAATTTCTGGGCCCCTAGCCAGACAGATCACACCATGTGCTGAGCGGTCCCGTGATGCACGGCAGCAGGACCGGGCAGCCGGGGTTCAGAGCCCAGGACCTCCCTGACGGAGTCATGTCTGCCCCAGAACCTCATCAGCCACACCTGATGCTGGAAGCTGGCAGCCTGAGCTCAGCGGAATATGAGGCCCACGTGAGGGCACGCCGGGATTTCCAGAGGCTGCAGCGCAGGGGCAGTGATGGGGACCGGCAGGTACGGCTGCGCGGGCCTGTGGGGTGCCTCGAAGCTGGTGCAGCTGTGCGTGAAGAGCAGGCCCCAGGCTCGGCCTGGAAGCCTGGGGGCCTCTTTTCTCAGCAAGGCCTCTAGAGGCTTGGGGGCCTCTTTTCTCAGCAGTGCCTCTAGAGGCTGCCACCCCCTTCACCGAGGGCGGGTGAGGGTCTCTGACGTGTCTCAGAGAGTGGAGACTAGGTCTGACCCCTGTAAAAGGCACCCTTCCAGCCCCAGGGTGGCCCGCGGCCTGCCCGGGCAGAGTTGCAGCACGTCTGGCTCGGGCTGACTGGAACTCCCATGCTCAGGTGTGGTTCCTGCAGCGGCGCTTCCACAAGGACATCCTGCTGAACCCCGTGCTGGTGCTGAGCTTCTGCCCGGACCTGAGCGCCAAGCCGGGACAACTGGGCACAGCCACTCGGGAGCTGCTCTTCCTGTTGGATGGCAGCTGCTGCGCCACGCACAAGGCCTGTAGGGGCAGGCTTAGGGCTGGGGGGCTGCAGGCTGAGAGGGCTGGGGCCAGGGCAGCCTCTCGGAGCCAGGAGGTGCATTGTTGTTTAAAATACCATCTTTCAAAGAAGAATCAGTCAGCGATTCCTCAAGGGGATTCCCTGAGGCTAACCTCACCCCCAAACACACACGCACCCATGGTCTCCCTGGTATTCACATCTGTGTGTGCCTCTCCCACATTCCAAGAGCTGTCACACACAGTCACGGTCACACTCACAGAGACTCAAGTTTCACGGACACCTGACGCGTCCAGAGCCTTTCTCGCCTATGGGGTGGGGTGCCTCCCGGATGCTCTTGCCACCTTTCCCATGGCCTGGAGAAGCCAAGCCACCTGGGCCCCTGCTCCCCACCAGTGCCACTGTCCTGCTCACGCCGCCCTCCTCGGCTCTCCGCAGGATGCCCTCATTCTGGCTGTGAAGTCACTCCCGCCCCAGACACTCGTCAACCTGGCCCTGTTTGGGGCATCAGTGCAGCCCCTCTTCCCAGAGAGCCGGCCCTGCAGTGACGTGAGTATGCGAGTGTGCCCGGGGCTGGGGCCACGTGGAGACGTCCCTGCAGTGCCGCCCTGCCCTGCCCTCCTGCCTTCTCTCCCCAGGACACGGTGCAGCTCATCTGCGAGAGCCTTGAGAGCCCGCAGGCTCCGAGCGGCCCCCCGGACGTGCTGGCTGTGCTGGGCTGGGCCGTGGGGCAGCCCCAGCACAGGGCCCACCCTCGGCAGCTGTTCCTGCTCACTGCGGTCTCGCCCACAGCTGCCACTACCCACCAAGCTCTGGAACTCATGAGGTGGCACAGAGGGGCAGCCAAGGA